AAAACCCCAAAAGGGGGGAAGGGGGTGGTGGGGGGGTTTTTGGAAAAATTTGAAACCCCCCCCAAAAAAAAACCCCCCCGGGGGGGGGCCCCCAAAAAAAGGGGCCCCCAAAAGGGGCCCCCCCAAATTTTTTGGGTTTTTTTGGGAAAAAAAGGGGGTCGAAAATTCCCCCTTTTTAAAAAAACCCCCCCCGGGAACCCGGGGGGGGGGAAAAAAAAGGGGGGGAAAAAACCCCCCCCCGGGGTTTTTTTGGGGGGGGGGAAAATTTTTTTGGGGAAAAAAAGGTCAAAGGGGGCCCCCCAAAAATTGGAAAACTTTTTAAAACCCCCCCCCCTTTTGGGGGGGGGAAAAAAAAAAATTTTTAAAAAAAAAAAAAGGGGGGGGGGGGGGTTTTGGGAAAACTTTTTCCCCCCAAAATTTTTTCTTTTTTTGGGGAAAAGGGGGGGGGAAAAAAAAAAAATTTTCCCCAAAAAAAAGGGGGGAAAAACCCCCAAACCCGGGGTTCCCCCTTCCAAAAAAACCCCCTTTTTTAAAAATCCATAAGGGGGGGGCCCCCCCCCCCCCTTTTTTTCCCCAAAGGGAAAATTTTTTTTAAAAACGGGGGGGGGGGGAAAAAAAAACCCCAAAAAAGGGGGGGGGCCCCTTGGGGGGAAAAAGGGGGGCCCACCCCTTTTTTTTTAAAAATTGGATCCCCAAAAAAAATTGGGGGCAAAAAAACCCCCAAAGGGGCCCCTTGGGGGGGCCCCCAAACCCCTTTTGGGGCCCCCTTTGGGGTTTTTTGGGGGGGGGGGAAGGGGAATTTCCAGGGGGAAAAAAAAAAAAAGGGGGAAAAAAAAAAAGGGGGGGGAAAAAAAAGGAAAAAAGGGAAACCCCCCCGGGGAAAAGGGGGAAAAAAAAATTTAAAAAAAAAATTTTAAAAAAAATTTTTTTTTTAAAAAAAAATTTTTTTTTGGGCCCCTTTTTGGGGGGGCCCCGGGGGGGGAAAACCAGGGGCAAAAAAAATTCCCCCCAAAAAACCAAAGGAAAAAAAAGGAAAAAAAAAACCCCCCCAAAAACCCCCCCCCCTTTTTTTTTCCCTTTTTTTTTTTTTCCCCCTTTTTTGGGCCGGGAAACCCCCCCCCCCGGGGGTTTTTGGAAAGGGGGCCCCCCGGGGGGGGTTTTGGGGTTGGGAAAAAAAGGGGGGGTTTTTTTTAAAGGGGGTTTAAAAAAAAATTTTTTTTTTTTCCAAAAAAAATTTTTTTTAAAAAACCCCCAAAAGGGCCCCCCCGGGGGCCCCCCCCCCCCCCCAAAAAAAAACCCCTCCGGGGGGAAAACCCCCAAGTTTTGGGGGGGGGGGCAAGGAATTTCCCCGGGTTTAACCCGGGAAGGGGAAAAAAACACCCTTTTTCCCAAAAAAAAAGGGGGGGGGTTTTTAAAAAAAGGGGGGGGAAAAAAAATTTAAAAAGGGGGGTTTTCCCCCCCAAACTTGGGGGAAAAAATTTTCCTTTTTTAAAAGGTTTGGGGTTTCCCCAAAAAAACCCCCCCCCGGGGGGGGAAAAAAAGGGGGGGAAAAAAAAATTTTTGGGGGGCCCCCGGGGGGGGGTTCCCCAAAAGGGGGTTTTGGGGAAAAAACCCGGGGGGGGGGAAAAAAAAAATTTTCCCCCCCCCCTTTAAAAAAGGGGGGGGGTTTTCCCCCCGGGGGGGGGAAAAAAAAAAATTTTTTTTAAACCCCCCTTTTTCCCCCCTTTTTTCCCCCCCAAAATGCCCCCGGGTTTTTTTTTTTTTTAAAAGGGGAAAGGAAAGGGCCCCCCCCCACCAAACCCCCCCCCCAAAAAACCCCCCCTTTTCCCCCCAAAAATTTTTCCCCAAAAGGGGGGGGGCCCCCTTTTGGAACCCCAAAAAAAAAACCCTCCCCCCCTTTTTAAAAAACCCCTTTTAAAAAAAAAAATTAAAAAAAGGGGTTTTTTTCCCCCCTTTTTTTAAAATTTTTTTGTTTTTTTTTAAAATTTTTTTTTTTGTTCCCCCAAAAAAAAAAGGGGGGGAAAAAAAGGTTTCCCCTTTTTTTTTTAAAAAAAAAAAAAAAAACCCTTCCCCAAAAAAAGGGGTAAACCCCCCAAAAAAATTAAAAAAATTTTTAATTTGGGGGTTTCCCCCCTTTAAAAAAAAACCCCCCCCCTTTTAAAAAAAAAAAATTTCCCCCCTTTAAAAAACCGGGGGAAAATTAATTAAAAATTTTTTTTTTTTTTCCCCCCAAAAAAAAAAGGGTTTTAAAACCCCTTTTTCCCCCGATGGAAAAAGGCCTTTTAATTTTTTTTTAAAAAAAGGGGGGGGGAAAAAAGGGGGGGAAAAAAAAAACCTTTTTTTTTAAAAGGCCCAATTTCCCAAAAAATTTGCCCGGGGGAAAAGGTTTTAAACCCCAAAAAAAGGGCCCCCCCAAAATTTTTTTTTTGGGGGGAAAAACCCCAAAAAAAAAAGGGGGATTTTTAAAAAAAAAAAGGGGTTTTAAAAGGGGGGGGAAAAAAAAATTTTTTTCCCAAAACCCCCAAAAAAGGGGGTTTTAAAAAAAATTTTTTTTCCCCCCAAAAAACCCCCCTTTTTTTTTTTCCCCCAAAAGGCCCAGGGCCCCGGGAAACCCCTTTTTTGGGAAAAAACCCCCCCAAAATTTTTCCCGGAAAAAAAAGGGGGGAAAAAAAAAAAAAAAAAAAAATTTGGAAAAAATTTTTTTTTAAAAAACCCGGGGGGCCCCCTTAAACCCCAAAAAAAAACCCCCGGGAAAAAACCCCCCCCCAAAAAAAAAAAAAAAAAAAACCCAAAAAAAAAATTTTTTTTTTTGGGGGGGGTTTTTTAGCCCCCCAAAAAAAAAAAAAACCAAAAAAAAATTTTTTTTTTGGCCCGGGAAAAACCCCAATTACCCCCAAAAAAAAAAAAGGAAAAAAAAATTTTTTTTTTTTAAAAACCCCCCAAAAAAAAAATTTTTTTTTTTTTTTTTTGGGGGGGGGCCCCCTTTCCCGGGGGGGGGTTTTTTTTTTTCCCCCCCCAAAAAGGGGGTTTTTTTTTGGGGGTTTTTTTTTAAAAAAAAAACCCCCCAATTTTTAAAAATTTTAAAAAAAATTTTACCTTTTTTAAAAATTTTTTGGGGGGGGAAAAACCCAAAAACCCCCCCTTTTTTTTTTTTTTTAAAAAAAGGGGGGGGGTTTTTAAAAAAAATTTAAAAAAATTTTTTTTTTTTTTAAAAATTCCCCTTTTAAAATTTTTAAAAAAAAAAACCCCCCAAAAAAAAAGGAAAAAGGGGGGTTTTTTTAAAAAAAAAAACCCCAAAAATTTTTAAAAAAAAGGGGGGGAAAAAGGGCCCCTTTTTTTTTTTTTTAATTAAGGGGGGGGGAAAAATTTTGGGGTTTTTCCCCAAAAAATTTTGGGGGGGGGGGGTTTTTTGGGCCCCCCAAAAAATTTTAAAAATTTTAAAAAAAATTTTTTTGGGGGTTTTTCCCCCCCCCCCCAAAACCAAAAAAATCCGGGGAGGGTTTTTTAACCCCAAAAAAAAGGTTTTTCCCCCCCCCCCTTTTTCAAAATTTTTGTTAATTTCCCCCCCCCCCTTTTTTTTTTTTTTTTCCCCCTTCCCCGGGGGACCTTTTTTTGGGGAAAAAAGGTTCCCCGGGGTTTGAAAAAATTTTTTTGAACCCCCCAAATTTTAAAACGTAGATTCTGCTTTCTAATTGAGCTCATTGTCCTGTCTACACCTGGACCATTACTAACTTTTCTGCTAGGATGCTAGTGCTGCCTGCACCATAACAATCATTGGTTGGTGCAGTGCAGTCCAGCTGCCTGCATCCTAGCAACAAATGATGTTGTGCAGCCCAGCTGCCTGCATCCTAGCAACAAATGATGTTCAGCCCAGCTGCCTGCGTCCTAGCAACAAATGATGCTGTGCAGCCCAGCTGCCTGCATCCTAGCAACAAATGATGTTCCGCCCAGCTGCCTGCGTCCTGGCAACAAATAATGTTCAGCCCAGCTGCCTGCGTCCTAGCAACAAATGATGCTGTGCAGCCCAGCTGCCTGCGTCCTGGCAACAAATAATGTTCAGCCCAGCTGCCTGCGTCCTAGCAACAAATGATGCTGTGCAGACCAGCTGCCTGCGTCCTAGCAACAAATGATGCTGTTCAGACCAGCTGCCTGCGTCCTAGCAACAAATTATGTTCAGCCCAGCTGCCTGCATCCTAGCAACAAATGATGCTGTGCAGCCAGCTGCCTGCGTTCTAGCAACAAATGATGTGCAGCCCAGCGGCCTGTGTCCTAGCAACAAATGATGCTGTGCAGCCCAGCTACATGCGTCTTAGCAACAAATGATGCTGTGCAGTCCAGCTGCCAGCATCCTAGTAACCAATTATGCATAGTGTCATTGGTTACTAGGATGCTGGTGGCTGGGCCACAGTGTCATTGGTTGTTGTGCCAGTGTCCTACCTACCAAAGTGGAGGGCAGCACTCTCCGGGAAAAGTAGTGGAAGGCCCTCCTGGGTGGGGGGCAGGGATGTCAGGCTCTCTCTGCGGGAGGGGGAAGGGGAGGGTTGTGTTGGTCGGTGTCCATGTGGCAATTTTTGTGTTCCCTAGGGCAGCACAAAACCTAAATACACCACTGCTGCAGCTGCTGGCAGGGAACAGGCTTTTCTGCTCACTGTGGGGCTGCTTTCCAAATAAAACGACCTATAAGACAGTGGACGCCTTTTGTTTTCATACACCTGCATTTTTTTTGTTAACAAAGCGTTTATTAGGCTTTTTATTCTGTCCTGAGTTCTCCTGTTTCCCTGACAGCGCCCCCTCACGATGCCCACACACACTGCCCACCATCGGAGTCTTTGCATTTTATCATCAAGCGATGTGAGCAGTTACCAGGGAAACGACCGGGAGGACGCAATGGGCGGACCAGTCCTGCTGACGTCGCAGTAGCCCGCCCAAACGTTCTCATGGTGGAAGAAGTCCCGGCTCGGTGTGATAAGTCTCAGGCAGAAGTGTCCCTCCGCCCCGACATGGAGTGCCCGCACCTTACGACCAGTGTTTGCATTGCTCCGGACTCCGCTGCCTTCCCCAGCGGCTCCCCCTCTTCGTGGTGCTGCAGCGGTGAGTGTGGTTTACTCCTCCCCGCGCTCTGCCCGTTGGGGGACGCACCGCCGCCTGCCTATAGTGCTCAGGAAAGTCCCCGGCTCCGGGCGCGGCCTAGTGGGGGAATTGTTATTGTTGATGGCAGGAGAGCCCGGATACAGTGAGCACTGGGGGGCCCTGTGACTGTGTAATGCTTATTGTATAAGAATATGTTTCTGTGTCAGCCCTTGAAGACCGATGGATGCCACTATTACAGCGCCTGCACCTAGAGGAGGCTGACAACAACAACAAAGCCTCCCTCCAAACACGTGTACCCATCCCTCTCCATAGACTGCTAGGAGGGGACCCGCTATTGTGTGTGTAGGGGGGCAATAATGAACATGGCTCTCAACATCCTGCACCGATCAGCCCTGTCCTGTCTGTGCCGTGCTGGGCTCGTCCTGCACCGATCAGCCCAGTCCTGTCTGTGCCGTGCTGGGCTCGTCCTGCACCGATCAGCCCAGTCCTGTCTGTGCCGTGCTGGGCTCGTCCTGCACCGATCAGCCCCGTCCTGTCTGTGCCGTGCTGGGCTCGTCCTGCACCGATCAGCCCCGTCCTGTCTGTGCCGTGCTGGGCTCGTCCTGCACCGCTCAGCCCCGTCCTGTCTGTGCCAGGCTGGGGTCGTCCTGCACCGATCAGCCCCGTCCTGTCTGGGCCAGGCTGGGGTCGTCCTGCACCGATCAGCCCCGTCCTGTCTGGGCCAGGCTGGGGTCGTCCTGCACCGATCAGCCCCGTCCTGTCTGTGCCGTGCTGGGCTCGTCCTGCACCGATCAGCCCCGTCCTGTCTGTGCCAGGCTGGGGTCGTCCTGCACCGATCAGCCCCGTCCTGTCTGTGCCAGGCTGGGGTCGTCCTGCACCGATCAGCCCCGTCTTGTCTGTGCCAGGCTGGGGTAGTCGTCCTGCATTGCTCCCCCACCCCAGGTGCAGGACAACCTGTGCCAGGCTGGGGTCATTTTGCACCGATCAGCCCCGTCCTGTCTGTGCCAGGCTGGGGTCGTCCTGCACCGCTCAGCCCCGTCCTGTCTGTGTCAGGCTGGGGTCGTCCTGCACCACTGAGCCCCGTCCTGTCTGTGCCAGGCTGGGGTCGTCCTGCACCGATCAGCCCCGTCCTGTCTGTGCCAGGCTGGGGTCGTCCTGCACCGATCAGCCCCGTCCTGTCTGTGCCAGGCTGGGGTCGTCCTGCACCGATCAGTCCTCCTGTCTGTGCCAGGCTGGGGTCGTCCTGCATTGCTGCCGTCCCCCACCCCAGGTGCAGGACAACCTGTGCCAGGCTGGGGTCGTCCTGCACCGCTCAGCCCAGTCCTGTCTGTGCCAGGCTGAGGTCATCCTGCATTGCTCAGCCCTGTCCTGTCTATGCCATGCTGGGGTCATCCTGCACCGATCAGTCCTGTCTGTGCCGTGCTGGGGTCATCCTGCATTGTCCAGCCCCGTCCTGTCTATGTCATGCTGCTGTCTTGCTTCTAAATTTAATCCAAGCCAAATTTACAAAATCCACCATCATGAAAGATGCTTCAAACGCCGGCACCTCTTTTAATTGTTTTTGTAGCCTGTACAGTAGTACGAGTCTATCCTACTTAAATGTATCATGCCTGGAGTCTGGATGAGATAGTATCAGACAAATACAATAATAATATTGCATTTATCTTAAGGTCCACTTTTTAATTATTTCATAGCAGGAGAGGTTGTGTTAGCATGCCTTTGTGTCCTCTGGCTTTTGTCATGCTGGCTGTATCAATTTTCAGCTGCTTTGAGTTCTTGTTCCCATTCTGGAGGAGCGAGGAAATCCCTAGGTGTGGGTCTGGACTGAGGATGGCAGTGGGGAGGTGACGACATGGAAACGTGCCTTTTTATTGTTACAAGTCCTTCTCTGCAATGCTTGTGGTTCCTGAATCCTGATTTCTCTGGGCGAGGCTGCTTGTAGTGGTTTTTTTTTTTTTTTTTTTGCACGTTCCTGGCTGGTACCCTTCCTCCTTTGATCTGGAATTGCCATGGCAGCAGTTTTTTATTGTTGCACAGGATTTATACAGTGCCAACAGTTTGCACAGCACTTTACAATATAAAGGGAGACAGTACAGTAATAATACAATTCAATACCTGAGGGTTAGGAGGGCCCTGCTCATGCAAACTTACAATCCGATAGTTTAGGTTGAATTTGTTTTTGTTTATCACAGATATGTATATAGTGCTGACAGTTTAACACAGAGCTATACACTGACATCAGTCCTTGTCCTCAAGGAGCTTACAAAAGGTCCCTATCTCACATTCATGCATACTCATACTGGGGCCAATTTAGATAGGAGCCAGTCAAAGCAGAACCAAACCCATAGATTTGTAAAGGTTTCCCAAAACAGTAAAATAACTGTCACATTTGCTGCGCTGTCAACCAAACTGTCAAATCATCAGATGGCTGGTGTTGTAACTGATCCTGACACGTACAAGCACCATGGCAACTGCAGATTAAGCAGAGCCTAAAGTATACACATTGGGGTTTTTTTTTTTAATTCAACCAGCAGGTTGAATAAAAGAATAAAAAATCTACCCTGTACATTTGTCCTGTACCCGCAAAAGCAATATGGATCTCCTCAGCTGTGCCATTGTATTTTGACAGCAGAGACTTCCCTCTCTTCCCCATCAGAATACAGTGATCATCCCTGCAGCAGCCACGGTTTCCAGCATGACCATTGGACTGAACTCACTCTAACAAATGGCATCTGTAACAACAGCGAGGGCTACACACAAATTGGAAGAATTTCGATACATGTGTACCCAGCTTTACTCACATTCATGCATATACATAATAAGGCCAATTTAGACAGGCGCCAGTTACCTACCAGCATGTCTTTTGGAGTGTGGGAAGAAACCGGTGTACCCGGAGGAAACCCACTCAAGCAGAGGGAAAATAGGCAGACTCCATGCATGTATTGCTGTGGTTGGGATTTAAACTGGTGACCCCAGTGCTGCCAGACAGAAGTGGTAACCACTTAACCACTGTTTTTATTACAGGTTTACAGACTGAGGTTTGTGACTATACACAAGGACCGGGCAGTTTGTCGATGAAGATGTAGGTGCCAATGAGAGTATTGGGATCACATTCATGTGTTGGTATAGGCATGTTCTGGTGTATACGATCGTTCAGCGGACCTGACGTATGCTCTGTTTGTTGTCTCTGCTTGTAGAATATTTGCACTTGTTGGTTACAGAAGTATGAGGCCCACTTCACACTTGAGTGGTTGTAGCTTGAAGCTAAATGCTCAACATCCAAAATTCCATGTATTGCTGTGGTGGCTGTTCACATGAGTGGTCAGGTGCCTGTAGCCTAATGCTCCAAAAGCTACAATAAAGTGGTAGTAAAGCCACTTTAATTTTTACCTACAGGTAAGCTTATAATAAAGCTTCCCTGTTGGTAAAATGAGTATCTTATATGCTATTTGGGTTTTTTTTACAGCTGGCGCAAGCGCTCTGAAGGAATGGCATACCCATACTGTTCCTTTAGAGCACTGTGCCGTGTCCCGAGACTCCCGTGCGCATGCGCGGGAGTGACGTCATTGCGGCTCAGCCAGCCAGATGGCCGGAGCTCGCGAACCCGGAAGGAAGACCGGGTAAAGATGGAAGCCTCTACAGCCATGACAGCGCACCGCTGGAGGGCTTTGTTTTAAGGTATGTTTTACATCATGTTCTAGTATGCGATGCATACTAGCACATTATGCCTTTACCTTGCAGGGGATTCTTTTTATTTTTTGGACATGGTTTACTACCGCTTTAACTACTTTTTAAGCAGAATTTGAATTTTTGGCCCCATAGATTTGAATGAGAATGCCTGAAAATGTGCAAATTGAGCCTGCTGAAGTGTTTTTTTTTTTTTTTTTTAGCCTGGAAGGACTGATCCACTCCCCTTTTGTGCTCTCCAGTGGCTAAAACAAAAACACCAGATATTTGAATATACATGTAAAATGCTTGAAATACGCTTCTAAAATGCTCAGAAAAATACTAAATACTAAAGTGGTTCTAAAAGCAGAAGGTTTCTCAGCCAATGAAGAGGAAGAGTCCTCGGAGAGTGAGACTCGTGCATATCTCTGGATCGTGATGGGTAAGTGTTGTGGGGGGGGGGGGGGTTGCTGCGCGCATGCAAGGTTTTGTACCTTCATGCCTAGAATGCATGAAGGTAAAAAAAAAAACCTTTAGCCTTTACAACCACTTTTAATGCATTCTATGCATGAAGGTAAAAAAAACCTTCTGGGTGTCTTACAGCAGCAGGAGCCGTTGGCTCCTGCTGTTATCAATCACAGCAAAAGAGCCAATGAGGAGAGAGAGGGGGGCCAAGCTGCGCTCAGTGTGTGAATGGACAATGTCCATTCACAATAGTGAGGCTCGGGAGCCAGACTTCTTGAGTGCCCCCATAGTAAGAGGCTTGCTATTGGGGGCACTTGGCAGGAGCAAGGAGCCAGGACCGCTGGTGGGGGACCCAAAAAGAAGAGGATCGGAACTGCTTTGTGCAAAACCATTGCACAGAGCAGGCAAGTATAACATGTTTGTTTAAGAAAAAAATCACAACCTTTTGGAATCACTTTAAAATAATTTTGATCAAGTGTGAAAGTAGCCTCGGGGCTCCTTAGGGAGCAGTAGAACCATGCGGTTTAGCATTTAAAAAAAAAAAAAAAAAATTTTAACGACCCCTCAACCATTGCTCCTTCCGCTGGAAAGGCAGCAGCCAGGGGTATACACATGCCACAATGCTTTTCTTTTTGGCTGCAGCCGGAAATTATACACCCTGCCGCTCTCAGTGGGCACGACCGAACGCAACCCGTACAAATGAATGGGGGCCACACTGAAACCGTTCACAACACACAGTAGTCCAGCAATTAAGGGGGCTAAAACAGATACAACGCCTCCTCCCTGCATGTCAAATGCTCTCTGGAGAGCAATCCAAATGTGGTTTCTGTTCAGTGAGCAGCACTGTAAACGAATCCTTAGAAAGCTGG